TTAGATATTATTATTATGAAATTGTAATGAGTTTTTGCTGTCTGAAATGACATGACATGACTATTACCGTATTTCTTTTAATACTGATCACCCCCTGCCTTCCTTACCCTGTACATTGTTCAGCTCTTTAGGGAAAAATTTATTTCTAGGTCAGCCTATTGGCTCATATTTGTTTCTTTCCTTTCCTCCATCTCTCTCCCCCTAAATATTTTTACCTAAAAAAGCCCAGTCTGAAGAGATGAATATTTAAATATATTCATGAAATAAATTGTAACTGAAATGGATTTTTAAAGATTGTCATCACATATATAAAATCTGTTTTATGAGAATTAATATTTGCAACATAACCTGCAATTCTTAATAAGTTCTCCCTACTATTCATGTTGCATTCAACATCTAGATTAAGGAATTCCAACATTTTCTTTTTTAAGTTTTGATTTTTTTATTTCTTCAGATCCTGCAAAGAGACGCCAAGGAGCCATTGCCTACCTCGGTCTTCTGCCTTTACTTGGAATGACCATTGTACATGCTATCATGTTGATTCTGAAAGATTAAAGACTAACCATTTTAAATGAATTCCCTGATTTCTATAAAATTGGCAATTCCATGTCATTCAATTATTTCTGCTGAAATCTTGTTTATTTCCAACATTCAACTTTACCCTATAAAAACACTCACTCAAATACTGCTTGATGACTATTGTCACCAGGATTAAGAGTTCAATCCCTTTTGGGTAAATACTTGCAATTTTAATAGCAACTGATTTTTAAATTTCCAATTGAAATTTTTTTTTTTTTTTTTTTTATTAAACTTGATATTCTGGTCAGTGGATTATTCATCAGTTGACAAAACAAAGACACTAATCCAAATAATTCATAGAATAACTAAAAAAAAAAAAGTTTTTGTTTTATATAAATCTTTTATAGTTTAGAGATTTTTCATGAAATCTGATATTGTTGTAAAATTTTCTTTATTGGGTTTTTTTTTTTTTATGGTGAGCTATTATTTTTTCCTGCTGAGAAATTTTGGTAAACTAAAAATACTAATAACCAAACTTTGATAATTTTATTCTATTCAGAATAAATATGCAAAACAATTTTTATATATTTTTAAAGGCACTTCTAAAAAGGTTGCCAAAAATGTTATCTTTTTGACATCACACTTTACGATGAAAATAAAGATTTTTAAAAATGTTATGACAGTTTGTATTTATTTTTTTTCAGTTGTTAAAACAATTATCCATTGTTTATATACATCATATCATCACAATATAAATGGCCAACACTAATTTCTAAGAAATTTAAAAATTCAGTTAATGCAATTAAATTACAGGTTTCAAAATTATTTTTTAAATCTAAATCCAAGTTCTGGGAACATTTTTTTCAATTTTGGTTTTAAAAGTCCCTTATCCAAAAAAAAAAAAAAGTCTTTATTAAAACATATGGGCAAAATGTTGACAAAGATTAAATTCAATTTTTATTTTATTCCATTAAGTACATAAAATTTGATGGGAAAAAAAATCTATCTTCAGTTTATAGAACAATAAGCTGGAATAGACTCTCAGGAATATGCATTTATCACAGTAGAAAAGAGAGTTGCTGACAAGGAAAAAGAATAAACAGAAGATCTGGAGGACAAATATTCAAAGATTTGATTTCAAACAAACTTCTTTTCTTTTTGAAGATTAATTCTTTAAGAAGCAAATACATCTGAAGAAATGAAAATTTCTAGTCTCAAGACAACTTTCCAAACAATTCCTCATAAAAAAAAAAATAATCGTTTATTATAACTGATATGTTCTCACAATATGAAAGTTGAAATATCTGTAACAATGAGAGATTAATGATAAAATATCCCAGATTTTAAAAAGGATAAAAATGTACTGACTACAGTAGTAATAAAGACAAAAATTCTTTTGGAGGAGTTTTAATTTTAGTTTATAATACTTTGATTAGCAATTCTCTGACCATCTACAGATCACATTTGCATAGAAATTAAAAACAAAACAAAGGCACACCTTCAAAATTCTATATGGGAATTATATATATAGTGGATATCTCACACCCTTATCCAAGTTTTACAAGCAAAACTAACCTAATTTACAATGTATTTTGATATCTGCAGATGAAATTAACTACAATTATTAAACCAACCTAATCTTTACTTTTTTTTTTTTAAATGTATCTGTAATTAAAAAATCTCAATCTTTAAAATCCCATAATGCAGAGGTTTAATAAACAAAATGTGCATCTTCAGCTTTTATAAGACGCATAGCTTTAGGGCTTCCTGAAAGACTTGAGCTTAATTTAAAAAGTTTCCTCCTTTCATAAATTTTAAGCAATTCTTAGTATATATTGTCTCTGCCATTTCTACTCTAGATCATTTAATATGCCCGGAGTGACCCCATTTGTGCATTCACTCAAGCAAACTGTATTGCCAATTGAATCAAAAATTACTTTTTTTCTCCCCAAAATTTAGTAGTATTGCACTAACAAAAATCTAGACATGATGGACCGTTTTTTGCTGTATTACAAAAAAAAAAAAAAAAAAACACTATCATAACTCAGATCATAATCTAGGTTGATTATAGAGAAAACAAGAGATTTGTCTCCTTTATCAGTAATTCATTTTTCTCATTTATTTAACAAGCCGTTTTCTTTTTGTTACAGGTGTAATAAATAGTTTGTTTGATTCCAAATCTCCACTTTGTTACCTGCTGATGATCAGAAAATAAATAGATGAAAACACTGATATAAGTATTCAGGCAGCAATTCCTTTAAGTTTGCTTCCCCATACAAAACCCAGTTTTGTATTTGTTTATATATATTATATAAATAATAAAATTTAAGAGCAAAGAAAAAAATTTAATTTTTTATAACCCCAAATATTTAACCATCAATTGTTAAAAAAAAAAGGTAACTGTTTATTTCTTCATACATGTAGACCATGGCATCTGATGTATTACTGAGGGTTTTAGTAATTATGTATGATTGTGTGTGACCTGTAGGTCAGCTGTTTCAGCAGATAAATGTAGGATAATAGTTTAATAAAAGACTCAATATTTTCTCAAATAAAAAAATTTTTAGTAAAGAAAAATAAATAAAAACAAGCTAATTTGTATTCTATATGCACACCCAATTGTACTAAAAAAGATTTAATCCATACTGCTATCATGAACAGTATTATTAAATATGCATTTCAAATTGAACAGAACAAGTGATTTATTCATAAAATTCTTTCTGAAGAGACTTGAGTGAAACATGTGAATTCATTTAGAGACACTTTAGTTAGTATCATTCATTTTCGAATTTAAAACATTTTTATTATTTTACAACACATTTGAACCTCCCATGTTATGTAACACGGCAACACAATTCCTTAACGGTGAGGTTCAAGCTCAAAGCAAAATATCTGGTTTAATGCTTGAGAGTTCTGCCTGGTCATGACTTCTTTAGAAAACAACTAACAGAAATCAAATAAATTAATTTGTAAAATCTTGTATCAAATCAATTTATTGTCTTTAAAATGTCATTTATTAAACAAGATAATGATCTACTCTAATTTCAATTAGAATTTATTTCTAACAATAAATAAGATCTGCGAGAATCTCGTTATTATGTTTGATACATCTTGAAAACAATCCTTAAAGGAAATAAATCAAGGTATTTAAGGTTTTAACATATCCTGAAGTTTTCAGACAAAGATTATTTGGTTAAAAACACTCTTTCTTAATATTTCTGCCATAAAAAAAACAAAAATAAAAAAATATCACATGTATTAACATGTATTAATCTCTGACAATAGAAATCATTCTCAACCATTATGTCATGTTTTTTCCAGTTAGTTTTCCCCAAATGTATAAGAATCTTGGAGAAATTAATTTATTTATTTATTAAGATTAGAAAATGACTATAAGAATGTGGAAGAATGGTCAATTTCAAGTAAAATGCATGAGTTTATGTATATAGCATGCCTGTGCATGGTGAAGTAATGGATTGCAGCTCAAATTGAGGAATCGGAGAGCCAAGTTCAAATTCCAATTGAGCACATTACATTCACATTCTAACCCCTACACCCCCACCCCAGCTATATCAGGACAGACTGAGTTCTACAGCCTTGGGTGGCAACTGGTCTAGGAGATGGAAAACTGTATGTAGCAGTGGCGAATCACATACTATACAGCTAAGGAAAGGATCATTCACATTGACTCGATCCCAACTACAGTCGATGTATAGAACATGTGTCTATTTCTAAGTAGATTTTTAATAACTTTCACCAGACATTTTGTCTTTTTATGAATGGTGAGTGTTTACAATATGGTATCAGTTTTGAATATTCCCAGCTGTCTCACCCACCTTCCAAACATTCATAAACTTTTATAAGAAAATGAGTGATAAACCCACACATACTAATAAACTAATTATTTTAAGAAATGAATTTAACTTAGATGTCCAGTTATGTTAAAAGCAAAACTACAAAATGATGATGGAGTATATATATATATATATATATATATATATATATATATAATAGAAAAACTTAAAAATAGTAATAATGCCTCGTAATCATTGCTAACCATTTTTGTTTGCTAAGGCATTCCAGTAGGAAATATAGATAATCTGGCAGAATTGTTTGATGGATTTCAAGAAAGACTTTTCAAAGAAAAAAAAAATTATTTGTCCTTTAGCACTTACCAATCAGTATATAAAATAAAAAAAAAAAAAAATAAAAAAAAAAGTATTTAGATGTCCATGGGAAAAAAAAATTGGTCCATTGGAATAAAAGGATTAATATGAATGAATAATTACAAAATCCTTTCAGGAATCTGTCAAGATGACCCAGTTTCCTTGGTATGAAAGGCGAGAGAAGTTCCATATAAGGACAATTGTGAATAGTTATTAAATAAAAAATGTCCCTTTGATTATTAGCTTCTTTCATCCAGAAGTTTACAGGTATTTTGTTTCTATGCAGATAAAATCATCATCAAATCGACTTGAATCTCAACCAACTGAAACCTATAAAAGAAAAAAAAAATGAAACTGATAAGTAATACTTGAAATCTTGATAGGTTTGCTCAAAATGAATTACAAATCAAGGTTTTCCAAATATGTGTCTGCCAAATTTGGAATCCAAACATTGTTATTCAATATGTATGATGTGCCTAAAATCATTGCTGAGTGGAGATTCTTGGATTGTGGTCACATCCTGAAAAACTGGTAAATTACAGAATGGAAACATGATACAAGTTAGGATAATTCAAGACCAATTAATCAACATTCATTTCGGAGGCAACATCTTTCTCCAAGTGATATTCAAATATAAAATTTCACGCACAATTTGGAAAGTCCTAACACAATATACAAAAATTATAAAAACATGAATTTGGAAAATATACTTCATACTTTCAAGAATTTTTCTCCAAAAGTTTGAAAGGAAGTAAATTTGAAATGTAGCCTTTTTAACATACTGCCAAATAATAATCTGTAGAGAAAATAGCCAATTGGTCGCATAGACTAATGGAATCTTAAAGATCTGATTCCTATTAGTTCCAGTTGAAGAGACACAAAACCAGTTTTAATTCTTTTATTCTAAGAGGTTTGGAAACAAGAGGTTAAAGAATGTTTTAATCCTAGAAATTAGACTTAATTTTCAAATTTCCACCAAACTGAAATTTTCAACATCTGAAAATATTTTTAGCACCAAAGACAAATGTGAGGTTGCTTCAGCCTTTCCCACATTAGAAATAAAACTTTTTAGTCTTGTAACAACAATTTCACTATCTCAAAAAAACAATCTTTTCTTACTAATCTGAAAATTAAAAACATGATTAGAATACTGAGTACATTACACTGATTTTACAAGATTCATATGATAGGAAAAACGTTCTTTTACAATACATTGACTTTAATCACACATTAAAGTTTGTTTTTTTGTTTTTTTCTTCTATTGACCAGGACTTTGAAATTATATGAATATTTCATGTTAGAAAGGAAAAAAAGCTAATAGTAAACTATTTAAAGAAGTAAGAGTTGCCAACGAATTACAAAGTTAATGATTTTGTCACGTGTTACATCTTTGTAGTCAAGAGAGATAAACATTCTGGTTGTTATCTCTGCAGGTAGATCATAGCAAAACTAAAAGAGTAAAATTTATCTAAACAGAATATTTAAAAGCAGAAAACAAACCCTCCTATAAAAATTTAAGAATTTTGTTTGGATTTGAAGATAATTTCTGATTAATAATTTTCTCAAATCTATACAGTTATAAACAGTCTAATTCACTATTATTATTATTTTATTACTAGTTTTACTCATCTTGTTCAATTATCATTATAACAACAACAACTACCACCACCAATGCCTCCACCTCCAAGCTTTTTGTAGCTGAAGAGGTTAAAGCAATATCCATGAGGTGTGGAATGTAAGTTCAAATGTAATCTTTTTGTAATCTGACAAAGAAAGAATGTGTTGACAGAAAAAGGCAACAATAACAGTATACTTGTTTCATAAAACACAGAGTATTTTCAATCCTCTGAGAGTACTAAAAAATGTGGCCTTGTGCCAAGATTGACCCAGTCCAAAACTGATACAAATAAGTCAAGATAGAGCAAAATAGAAATTTCACACAAACGTGGAAAGGCAAAGTTCCATTTCCCCTGAATTATTAACAGATCAGGACTTTGGTTCATTCAACTTGTACCTCTTCAATAGCTACAAGTTCACATTAGCTACCAATGGCTTTATTCCTACACATGCTGCAATAGACAGGGTCTAGAAAGAAGATTGTAAAGTGTACCATCTTCATCCAACTTTTACTGTAACAGAACATTCCGAGTATCATTAGGGAGGACTGCTTTCAAGAGTAACTGTGCCCCTGCTTTCATGGTAGCTGTGTGGTTAGTGGCAGCCACAACAAGCTTTTGGGCTACTACAGGAAGGGTGTTGTGTACAGGTTGCAAAACTTTGTCAATTTTGTCGATGGCCAAGTTAGCATTTGGTTCATGATTGACAACTTGTTTGTTCAGGGCTGCAAGAAAAAAAAAGTAATTACAATTTTATAATAGCAATAAATTCAGACATGTCAACATTGATACTACAGAAAGTTTTATTAAATGACTTTTATGGCACAGTGAGTTTTACATAAGGGTCATAGTCTTCCCAAACAGTCAATTTGCATAATTTCTTAATTGTATCTTCCAAATTTAAAAAATTACTGTAAATTTCTGAAAGGTTGACATTTAATACACTTTGCTTAACAAGGACTTAAAACTATGCAAAGCAAAGGTTTTTAATTCTCTGGTATATGTCATATAACCATAATTAGCCATTGTTTTGTATGACCATATAAATCTACCTAGCTTAAAAAATAAAAACAAAAAAAAAAAAACACTGTACTTTTAGGAGTATTGTGTGTTTGTGGTCATTCAGGATTGTAAGTAGCATTCACACTGACACAATACAAGCAGAGATACATTGTCAAAACACTTATTACACACTCTGTTAAAATTTAAACAAATTTTTTTCTTTTTAGCTTGGTAATTTCTTTTGAGTGCCAATAAATGTCAAAGCATTTTCCAGATCACAGTATCCCAGTATAGAATTTAATATATAATTTCAATGTCCTTGTTTTCAAAAATATTTAACTTTAAAAAATAATGACAGATTATTTTAACAATATAAAATATTAATTAATGCAAACTTATCTTTAGTGATCCTATTTACAGATACTGTTTTTCCAGGATGAAAGGAGCTAATAGTGAGAACAACAGCAGGAGGACTCAAGATAATGAAAGGAAAAAGAAAAAAAACTTACCATGAGTTGCCATGGCAATTTCGTTTCCTAATTCTCGAACAAACTTTGGCTGAACTGAATCTACAACAACTGGCTTCTGTAGGAGATCTTTGTTAAACACTTCTGAAAGTTCTGGAACATAGAAAAAATATCAAAAAATAAATACTTGCTCTGTAATCAAAACTTGGAATAAAATTTTGAAATCTATAAATGTTAGTGTTGTCTGAGAAAGTTCAAAGGTTTGCTATTCCAATGACATCTTTTACAAATCATAAACAATTGTCATATTGGAAATTTAGATATGACCAAATTTAAGAAAAGCATGAAATTTAACCATCTGAGCAATGATGTGTGTAAGGTTATGGGCAAGGCCAATATGAAGGAAAATTTCTTATTCATATTAGGGTGTCTAAAATTCAATGCAAGACTAGATAAAAAAATATTGTTGGTTTTAACCAATCAAAACTTGTTATTTTGTATTTCTACTAAATATATTCTACCAAAGATGCTTTCAAACTACTTAACACCAACTCCTGATCCAATCTGATTTAAAAAGACATACTTTAATTTGGTTTTATTATTGTTTTCATTAAAAAGAAATATCAGACTATATTTTTTTTTTTAAAGCCAGTCAGTTATGTACCATGCGTGATACACACTTAGACAGATTTTTTTCCCTACAGTAGGTTGCCATTTCTTTCTGCAGTAGACCAGTTGCCATCCAAGGCTATAGAGACCGGTCTGTCCTGCTATTTACCCATAGCTGGGGGGAGAAGAAGACGATTCATACCTTTTCCAAGTGTAATAGCACATAAGTGAATGTAATGGATTTGACTGGAATTTGAACTCAGCTCTCCAATTACTCAATCTGAGCTGCTATCCATTACTCCACTGTAAATTCACAACTGCTTATCAGCAATTGAATCCAAATCTTATTTCATCACAATGAATTCTTTCACTGTAATCCAATGCAATAGTGAAAAATGCCTTCCAAAAGCTGAAGTATTAAGAAACATAAAAAAAAAACCATTAAAAATAAAGAAAAGAGTACTGAACTGTCCTGTAGTATCAGTCCTTCTATATGGTAGTGAATACTAGACAATCTCCTCACAGATGAAGAGCCATGGCACATAGAAGAATCCATTGCACCTAAGTCATGTGAAAAGACATACATACTTTTTAAGTTTCTTAGTAGAGTAACTACTGCTTAGACAAAGCAAATTGCTTATAGTTTTTAGGCAATAAACTTGCAACAGAAGAGACTTATTGAAATATAAGATTGGCTAAAAACTAGTCTCAACCTGAGTGCAATGAAGGTTTCAACTCTTCTTCAGATCTGTTTCTATGATAATTGCTTAACTGTTGCCTGCTGGCCACTCAAGAAAATTTATTTGCAATGTGTCTTTAATCCAACGCCTCAAGCAACAGAGATCAATATCAGACAACAGGGTTGTTTTTGTTGTGATTGATATTAATAAAGTCATTTCCTCTTTCTTACCTTCAACTGTTTGGTGATAGGCAAAATGAAGATACAAAAGAAAACAAAGATGAAGAAATGTGATTGTGCCACAAACAATCATCCGCTGAGATTGTCCTGATGTCCGAGAAAGAATTACAAAAGCCTGGAAATAAAAGGTAAAACTGAATAACAATTTTTTAAAACAATTTTAAACTCAGTGTGTGTGTGTATATATATATATATATATATATATATATATTAGTTGCATGGATATTAGTTTGTAACCCTGGGTTTCATGCTTTTGCATTCATCACAGAGTTTGTCTGATGATTGCAAAAGTGTGAAACCCAGGGTTACAAAACTAATGTTCATATAAATGAATATGTTAGCTCTATCACAGATATTGAGCACTTTTCACTAATTACTGCATATATATATATATATATATATATATATATATATATATATATATATATATATATATATATAAAATGAATTGAACAAAGTCTGGCAATTATTTTAAGACATTTTTTTTTTTAATGTTTATATGTTCTTTTTTATAGATACAAATATTTAAATAAATGCTCTGTTTATAATAAACATTTACCGGCCTGAATGTCCAAGAAATTTTCATAGAAAATATTCGTCCTCCAAATGTCTTAAAATAATTGTCAGACTTTGTTCAATTCATAATGTCCTGGGAAAGACATTAAACTGCATCCAACAGCAAGGCCTCTGATCAGGAGGTTTTGAGGAGCGTGGAACCACCTCTTAATTGCTGATGTTCCCAGGTCCACCCTGACCCGGGGTGGTAGCACCTGTTAGGGTCCCAGCTATGGGCAAATAGTGATCTCCCAGTCTAGCCCGCATCCTGGGTATGACGATAAACTACATCCGAGTCCATGGGCATTACAGTAAACTGCATCCACGTCCTGGGTACGGCGATAAACTACATCCACGTCCTGGGTACGGCGATAAACTACATCCACATATTGGGTACGGCGATAAACTACATCCACATATTGGGTACGGCGATAAACTACATCCACATATTGGGTATGGCGATAAACTACATCCACATATTGGGTACGGCGATAAACTACATCCACATATTGGGTACGGCGATAAACTACATCCACATATTGGGTATGGCGATAAACTACATCCAACAGAAAGGCCATTTTTGAAAAATTAAGGTTGTCAGCTATACGTTTTTGGAAAAGTAGTATTACCAGCCATACATTTTCGAAGGAATAATATTGCCAGCAGTGTGTTTTTGAAAAATGACATTACCAGCCGTACGTTTTTGGAAAAATAATATTCCCAGCTATGCATCTAAAAAAAGAAAAATATTACCAGCTATATGTCTTTTAACACAATCTTATTCAATGGAATTGTAACTGGGGTCAAAACACTGTGAAAGGATGATGTTTTAAAAAAAAAAAAAAAAAAAAAAAAAAGTAATGTTGCCAGCTATATCTTTTTGAAAAAAAAATAAAATAAAATAATGTTGCCAGCTATACCAAAATCATTTTCGGCATAAAATGACCAATAAGGTTGGAATGCCGTTAAACAAAACAAACAAACTCAATTCATAATGTGTGATGTCATTTGTTTACATTTGGATATGCATTGAGCAGGTATGAATGTATGTTCTGAGAAATTAAATTAATTCATAATTTTGGGGAATTTTCCTTCACTCATGGGAGATGGGTGCAGGCATTGCTCCAACTGGTTACTTCTACTTATTACCATTTCCCACCAGTGCTTTCCAGTGGGTGTGGGCAGCTCCTTCAACCTCCTTAATATCTCATCTGTACCTGCTAATCCTTCAGTGGGTGCAGGCAGCCCTTTTTTTTCCTTGATTGATTGCTCTTCTGTGCCTGTCACTTCCAGCATTTGGTCGAAGACTAATTAAAAAAAATTATGATTCCAAATGCTATTATCTCATAAGTGAATTGACACAACAATTGGCTTTCTCACCTTTGACCCAAGAGACATTCCCAGGGAATTTTTGCAACTCACATTATGGTGACAATTCATTCAGCCAAAGGTCAGCATTCTGAAGGTGTTCAATTGTTTTCCATTCCGATATCTGACAAAATGAAATCATTCACGTTTAACCCAATTCTCCTCATGTCAGATCCAGGCATTGTTTGCCGAAGATTGTCAATACTTGACCTATTTGCACAAACTGGGCATTGCTTTTAGACAATCATCTGGTCTATTGTATAAATCTCGATTCTCTAGGAACCATTTATTATTGGTCTATCATTCTTGATATTTTTTTAACCCTTTTCATGCTAAGTTATTCATCATTATCTCATTTTTGTTGATATTCCAAGTCGTTATTATTAATTACCAGCCATCCAAATAGTGTTACAATAACCTTGTAAATTTTAAAGTAAATCAAGCACACTTAAAACTGTAGCCTGCCTTTGAATTAGCAAACATAAAATTTTGTTAGTAAATTTAGATAATCATAAAAGTAGACCCCTTTGAAAAACTGACCACCCAAAAGCTGAAAGAGTGATCCCCTTTTTCAGTTAATGGAACACAAGGGGATGGATAGGGGTGGTAAGTCCTCCAGCTAGCATCCATATAATGAGTGATCAGTGAAAGGACCAACAGTCAATAAGTCAGTCAGTTAGTCAGCCAGCAGCCAGTGAGATAGTCAGGTCAGATGTATGTGCATTTGGGTCCTTTTTCCATGGCCAAAAGTTAGTGAGATATCAGGAGTTCACTTTCTCAAAGCCAAAGGAAGACATTGCCGATTAATTGAAAAAAAATCATACTGTTTTGCTACTTCCCAACCAGTGTCTTGAAAAGCATTTGTCGTTATTCTATGATTCATGGCTCTAATATTGAGACAAACCTGTGAACACAGTGTATACATATACATCTGACCTTGGATGTCATCATAGCTTGTGCAGCGATGTGCAGAAACACATAATCACAAAACATACGAATGGAGTTATGTAAACAATATGTCAATAGTAGCCTGCTGACTACTTGGAAACTACACGCATTCATAAAACAACGTAAATACATGACACTCATCTTATGTAGGCACATCCTGTTTTCGTCTATCATTTCTGTCTTTGACTTGCACCATGACTTGGTCTTAAATAAAGATCACCATTATTGTGTATCAAAAAAACACTTGTCGAAAACCATAGGAAGTTGATGGACTAAGTGAACCTTCATATGGGGTGACATTCTCACAAACTCTCAAAGAAGACTGGGTGACTATAAATATTAATTTTGAATTAACCACTTGTTTCATACAGACAGACACCATGTCTTAAATTTTTCAACAGTTCAACCTTGTTTTGGGTTGGTATAAAATTGTTATATATATATATATATATATATATATATATATAATATATATATAAATATTCATCCGATATCAAAAAGAGATTGTAGCATCCAAACAATATTGGGAATCATTATTGTTATCAACATAGGCATATTTATGTACTTGAACCAAGATGATACCTATAATAGGTTATAGGTATTGTTTCAACTTGAACACTGATTGACACATCTAAATTATAAGCCAGCTTCAGCAATATAATAAAATTGACAGTAATAAATTAATCTGATATCTACAAGAACCTCAAGTGCCTTTTTTGCAATTTTGTCTAAAACTAAGAGAAGAATGTTCATCAGCTGCCAGAATATCAATAGCTCTATGTGTTTATTTAGAGCTTCTAATTCAAAAGAGTCTATGTCTGTTACATCTTAGAAAACAAAAGACTAGCAAGGTTTCTCTTTCTCTAGCAAACTAGATCTATCAGGGCTATTTCATTACAAGCTGCACCAATGAAAACAAGTGAGCCAAGAGCATAAAATATAACACACACTTACCATCCTTAAAGTAGAGAGGCCACCAAATATTGCCCATAGAATGTAGAAGACAATATGGTTATGTGCAGAGTGAATGACTGTACTTAAAAACACCACCAAACAATGACCAAATAAACCATAACCCTGAAAAAGAAAGACAAAAAATTGTCTCTAATAAAAATACATAAATGATGCCTGCAAAACAAGATCATTTGTGAATTTCCACCTTGATTTATTTAATGGAAATTTAAGCTGTGAAAAAAAAAAAAAAAAAATAGCAACAAATAATAATAGTCTTTTCTTAAAGCATAGTCAGAAATCAATATGCAAATTTTCAGAAACTTATTTTGCCATTTTACAAAAGTGAAAATGTCAAACAAATCATTTGTAAATTTAATGTCTTGAGTAGAAAGTTACCCAGATACACTTCAAAGTTAAGAAGAAACTAAATAGAAACTGGTACCTTTACTTCCAGTAGAAATTCTGTCCAGACAAACCAATCTTTTCACTGGTATAAACTGACTGGATGATAAAGTATTCAAAATTGCCTCAATAAAACAAAGAGTTTCATTTTCGGATTTTTCAGACTATAGCTACAAATAAAATGTGCTTTTTCGTGTGGAGCTGAAAAAATATTAATGTCCCTTTAAGATTTGAGCATGGTGTATATTTACAGTCGGCAACGAAGTGACTAATTGATTTACCACTTTCTTTTGTTTTTTGGTAGATTTGGTCAAGTTGACGACAACAAAACAACTACAGTGATTGATTAGAAGAAAAAAAAAAGATTTAAAATTAAGCAGAATAAGTCCTAATTTAATTTTTTTTTTAATTCACTTCACAGGCCAAAATATCAAGCGACCTGTTTTACACTCCTTGGACCATTAACAAAAGTGTTATCATATGGAGATCGTCTGGTTTTATTAGTTTTGTTTTCGAGTAGATTTGTTGAAGAAAATGATTTCTTGCAAGAAAAGAGAAAATTACATACCAACATGGAAAGAATTTGTATCATAGAAAGGCTGATGTTACAGAGGTAGGACAGTAGAAAGATGGCCCCTGATGAACCAAACCAGTAGGTGAAGCACACCACAAAAGAGGTCCCCATCAATGTGCCTTCTTGCTGTGAAGGAGTTTTAAAAAAATAAAAATAAAAAAATAAAAAAAATAAAATAAAAAGACATACAGCCCCCAAAATTGAACTGAACAGAAATAGGTGAGTAATATGTTAATATGAGGGGGACAGTATCAGTACAAGTGGAGTTTTGATAATGAAAACCACAAATCTAACTCCAAAACCATACAATAAACTAGTTATCTGCTAATTATCATGAAACTGAACCAAACGTGGTTCGTCATTATACCAGATTTATTTTTAAACTAATTTACCCAATATTTACATTAGTCGGACTATTGTCCTCATCTTTGTCGCCATATTTGTCACAACGTTTCGGCCGTTGTACGCTCCGGCCTTCTTCAGGTGGTTGGAATTTCGAACTGAATCCTTTATTTCGATCACTGGGGTAGACTGTTCTAGTTCCATGTGCCATGTTTGATGGATGTCACGTGGAACTAGAACAGTCTACCCCAGTGATCGAAATAAAGGGCACATATGCTAGGCCACAAAAATCTCCTGAGCCGACCAAGCATAGAAATAAATACAATATGGGAACCAGTAATAAGGAGTGCCAGAGAAAAGCAATGGTAACAAATTTGCTATATGAACTCTGGTAAAGACATGCAATGATAACAGCAAAAATTGCAATATGAGCACTGGTAAAAATGATGCTGAAAACATTAGGTTTATAATACTTAGAAGTTCATACCCAGATGTCCTCAAGGACACATGGCACAGTGGATAAAGGCGTTGGTTAGATCCAGTTAAGGCAGTGGAGACCTTTCAGAGGGAAAATTAGCAGGAGATAACTGATAACTGACAACTGACATCCATCAAACATGGCACGTGGAACTAGAACAGTCTACCCCAGTGATCGAAATAAAGGGTTCAGTTCGAAATTCCAACCACCTGAAAAAGGCCGGAGCATACAACAGCCGAAACGTTGTGACAAATATGGCGACAAAGATGAGGACAATAGTCCGACTAATGTAAATACTGTACATAATACCTCATCTCAGAAATATAGACAGACTCTAATTTACCCAAGCTACCAAAAATTTTGGCATTTTAAATACATTTTCCAATTATAATTTGTAGTAAACTTTTCATTTTTGAACTTTTTAAAACATAGCTTCATAAACATCTTGCAACAATCCACCATTGTCATAGACACTGTCACTTGGAGACAACTTCAGTAGAGCAAAATTTACATAGATGTAAAAATATAGATTGTCTACCACAAGTTACCCATGCCCAAGATTAATTCTCCCCAATCCTTTGTAACATAGTTCATGAACATTTACTTGATGTCAGAGAAACCAGAAATTCAATTTACAGTGCTTTTACATTATTTGTCATGTAAGCATTTTTTTGATATCATTATTTTTGTGACTAATGAAGAAGCAACAGTTTAAATAACAAAGAACTCACTACTTTATGGCCAGAAGATTTCATTTGAAACAAAAGAAGGGCAATCAGTGTGAAAATGACCATCATTGGACCATACAATTCTCTTGGGACATTCTGCAAAAGAACAAAATATAAGAATATAGTGTTACATTGCAATATATAGACTTTGCATAAAAGAAAAGAAACAGTCAATTTGAATAAGGAGGCGGTTTGAGCTGTGATAAAAGGGGATTCCAATGAACCTAAGATCTTTTATAATATAAGGTGTATTCAAGCAGAGAAGGAACTGTAGACAATAAGGGGAAATAACTCAATATTAGTGGATGAAAAAATAACTTTAGAGAGAAGAAAGTAACTTTTTTTTGCAAAGATTTATGATGGAAATCAGCAGGGGAAAGAAAATGTAGCCAATATCATATCTCAAGATAACCAAAGATGAATTCTACAGTTCTTCACATGAACCAACCATGTCTGGAACCAAGCTAATGTTGTGTCTCTTTTTTTTGCTTTTCAAAAGATGGTCTAGAGTTAAATCCCACAAATGAAAAGAGAACAGAATGTCTACTTACATTTTACTTTGCATTAGCAATTATGAGTGGGGATCAAATATGGATTGGAATCTGAGAGAACAATAAGATAAAGAATGAATAAGAAACGTTTATCAATCTAACATGTTTTGCTTTTATTGAAGATTCATCAGAGAATGAAATCTGGAGAAAAAGAAGTTCTGGTATTTTTTACTTTTATTTTTGATTTTTATTGGCTAATTATGTTTTACATGCATTCAACTTGTTAAAAAACATTAGTATAATTTGTAGTGTTCCAAATTCAAAGAGAAACGAGGTTTCCATTTGAAGTTCCAAGAAATTAATAGATTCCAAGCCTAATAGAAAAACCATAAATATTGCTTTATGTATGTAAGTGTATAATAATTCTAGTTGGTCTATGTGAGATTCAGATCGTTATATGGAGTAAACATTATGTTTGTTGGTGCTTCACATGTTGATTTGGAAATGTTTTTACATACATACCATTTGTTTTAGATAAACATAAATTCTTATAGTTGGTAATATTGTTATTAGTAGTCTCTTGAAGTTCTACATTAAGAATTGTTCATTTTTTTATTTAGGGTGGCATTTGTAAAAATCAAAGTTATGACCAGTTTTTTCCCCTCTGTATTACAAGCAAATTTAAATGGTTGTCTAAATATAAATCTCTTATGTTCATAGATTCAGACTTTTAGATTTCATGTCTCTCCAATATAAATGCTTTTACATTGTAAGCATCTTATTAAATAAGTACCAGCATTTGAATTGGTGTTGGATTGATGTTTCCAATTGTCTTGGAAGCGGTGGTGAAGATCCTAGTATTAAGGATAAGTAATTTATATACAAGTTTTGTAGAAAGTGTTAGAGGGTAAGACTATGTTTGCTTTTAGAATTCAGAAATTCACAAATTATACTAATGTTTGACTAACAAGTCAGATGCACATGAAACATGATAACCAATGAAAATCAAACAACACATAAGTAAAAATACCAGAATTTCTTTTTTTTCTTCACATCTCATTCTCTGATGTAGCTTTAATAAAAGTGAAATATGTTAGATTGATTTCGTATTTGCTCTTCATCTTATCATTAGGAATTAAGTAAAAAAACAGAAAAAGTTGAAACCACTTTATGGTTTAAATAAATCTTTAGATATCATGTATTGTTTAAGAAAATTTTTTTTTTAATTTTTACATATGATTGAAAATTGGCTGAAACACTTCACAACTTGAATGCAGTTTGGTATTAAGGACAATACTTTTACAGATGTATATTAGATCTTGTCAAAAAATGGTTGTAATGGCAAAAAGCTTTTCTCATCTAGCATGCACTGATGTGGAGATGGTAAAAAGTTCTTAGACCTTAGGAAGGCGAAAAAATTCTGAAGTTTTTAGATTTTGGGAAGCGAGTCATGTTGAGAACTTTTCAGCGCCCTTAATTATCACCAAGTGTAAAAACTAATACTAAGAAAATATTACTTATAATTTGTAAAAAGAGATTCATGTTTTCTTCTATCATTTCAAACTATTGTTCTCATCTTGGTTAATATATGATGTTATTATAGACACAACATTTCAACCAAGCACTCTCTGGTTATCATCAGGTGTTCATTGGATTGGATGATATGGAACATCTTCTGATTGTGATATTTTAACCATGTGATATCAGTTGTTGAATCGGTGTGTCACTACCAGTTCCAAAGATTGAACCCATGAATCTGGTAGTAACACACCATTTGTACACACCTAATACTTTCTAACTGTCATATTAAAACAACATTTTACTTAGTAGATAATATAATAGTTAAAATTTGCTATATTTATAGGAGAAAAGTGTTCAGTACCGGTGATAGTGTGAGGGATTAACACTACATGGTGACTGTCAATTTTATACTTCAATATGATCATGGTCTAAAGATAACATTAAATTGTGAAACTGACAGTCACCATTCACTATTAATCCCTAAGTCCACACTCTCTCTCTCTCTCTCTATATATATATATATATATATATATATACACACACACACAAATAAAGTTTCCTTCTAGATAAAACAATTTTTAATAAAACTGTATTAACAAAAAAAAAAAAAAAATTTTTTTAAAATAATAAAAGCTACTTGTAAATAAATATTTTATCATTTTCCGATGAAAATATTTACCTGTCTTTGCCCTGTTGGTTTCTGTGGCATAAGAGATTGAAGAAGTCTGCAAATCAAAATTAATCTCATCAAGATAATTACAAAAGAAACAAGGAATTAAAATTGACGTCAAATACAAATTTAAAATTTGGTTAGAATTAAAAATACAAATTAGAATTTTTACTTTTCATCTATTGTCTCTAATGAGCATTTTCACAGGCAATGATTGATTTTTTACAAAACATGAATGATGCTATTCAAGTTATTTCCCTTTAAAGAGCTAAGATCTGACGATATTTCAAATAAATTTCCTAAGATCTTAAAACTGCAAGACAAACGATACTTTCTACCTTCGAAAGATTAAACAAAACTCTTCAACAATATCTACTAAAAAATATAACAAATGAATTAAGAGATAAATGTTCCTGCTTGCTTTTTGCCTACCTGCTTTTTACTTCATGGGGTTGAACATCAAAATAAGGTCGCAAGATATCAATATTTCCATAGAGATTCCAAGCTTTGGTGGCCTGCTGCTTCCCTGCCTGCCATACCTGAAAGAATAACACAGATTGGACTTTCTTTGTTTCTTGTTTTTTATTCAAATACTCAAATACTCTTTACTATGGAACAAGGGACATTTGAATGAGAACAAAATTTTATTTATACTATTTACATTGTTTGGACTGTTGTCCTCATCTTTATTGTCATATTCACAACTTTTCAGCTGTTGTACATTCCAGCCATCTTCAGATGATATACATTGCAATTTCAAACCGAACCCTTTATTTCATCCACCAGGGTAGATTGTTTAGTTTCACACGCCATAAAGTTTTCTCAATTTCAGTTATTTCCCTCAGTAATTTAACTATCCAAGTTTTTGTTCACCTCTGCTGTGGCCAGGTATTGAACTCATTCATAACTCTTTGGATCAAGTCACTTGATTACTTCAACCAATGCTTTTATCCACTGGGCTGAAACGTTGTGAATATGATAATAAAGATGAGGAAAACAATCCAAACAATGTAAATAGTTACAATACTGCATCTCAAAATAAAATTCTGTTAGTAATTTTTTTTTTCTTTATATTTCACTGTTTCTATTGTTTGTAACAAATGTTGTCAACTTATTAATTTTCCAGTCAGTTCTCTCAAATCAACCATTTCATTTCAATACACAATGCAGAGCGAATTGTGAAGAAAAATAAAACTGTATTCTATGTTATTTAACATGGTAACATACAGTGAATAATTAATACAGACTATATGTTGATGTGAAATGCTGAAGTATGTCAGGACAATAAACCACTTACCATTTCAGTGACATTTTGGCTTATTCTTTGCCGAATGTCCTCATTTGGATCATTATGACCTCCTTGATATACATCTCCTTCCATCTTCACAGAGTCTAGGAGATATAAAATTATTTAAACGCAATTACAAAAAAAGAATCCTAAGCAAAAAAAGTATATCTTGATTCTAGAGAGTTCTGTTTATTTATCTGAATTAATATTTACATCTCTGCAACTTTTTTTAAAACTCAAACTTTCAAAGAATGTTTATTCCCATTACACACAAATATGGAATTCAGTGGTTTATCCTCTTGAACAATCACAACACACAAATATGACTTTGCAGTCTAGTGCATAAAATCATTAATGATTTTGTCATTAAGACTTAGAATTTTGATGTAATTTAATAATTCTCTAATATTTAAGAAAATGGGAAGTAAAACCCAAAAATTACAAACATGATACATTTAGGCCAGACATCTATCTGTAGTCAAAATTCAATAATAAAATAGTTTGATTGGCCAATTATATAAATATTTTTTAAATTATTTTTATGCACAATTGTAAGTTTCAAAACATGAGCAGTCTAAATGTTAAGAATGTATAAATAAAACTGAAAAATCTAAAACATCTAATCATGTTAATTACATAAATCAGGGATTCATTTAAACAAATATATTCATCTTGGTTGTTTATATTCCTTAATCATTTTCACAATTTTCAAATAAATTACAGACAAAAAATATTCAACAATCAAATATCAGGACACACAGTCCACTCTGTTAACAGCTTGTATGTGAAGACTGAAAAAATGCACAAATAAAAATGTCATTAACAGTAAAAATAATAAATATTTTAAAATACTTGAGTCTAATTTCGGCTTAAGTTTCTCACAATTTTGTTCCAGTAGTTCTCTTGGATTATTGTATCATTCATAAATTGCATTTTAATGATGAAAAACAAAAATGAAACTGAAGCAAAATTCTTTGCAACTTATTTGAAAGCATTTTCATCAATATTTTTTATAACTTTGTACAAAATGGATGACACACAAACCGATTGAAAAATAGAACCCCATATTTTGGAAATATCTTTCTTTTATATTTCCTTTTTTTTTCTTTTTAATTAATGGTTTAAAAAAAAAAAAAATGATTGAATTGTGAGTTAATACTACTAGATGAACAGTTATCATCTAAAACATTAACCCACAATTCAATAAAGAGAAACCCTAAGTCTTTAAGACTTAGGGCTCTCTTTTTGCATATAAATGCTTTGTACAGTTCATACAACAAAGTGGTTGAAAGAAAACACAAGCCATCACAAAGAAAAAAAATTTGGAAAAGTCATATGCTCTTAAAAATATTCTTTAAGCATTTTACCATTTTCACCTATTTTGAGATGTCTTCCTTGCATTGGAAATGAAAACAATATTGCAACTAAGAAACTTTGAGAGAACAATAAAAAAGTAACAAGGTCAAGTCTACACCTGACAATATTTGTTGACTTTGATTATAAATGTACAATAAAGTGCAAAGGTCTTTGTCTACTTTAAACTATTGTAAATTTCTAGTAATTACCAGTTTATAAGTGGATGTTTTGCATCATTTTTTTCTATAGAAGAAACATTGGCCCAATTGGAATCATTTCTATACCTAATTACCTTGTTTTGTAGTGAGGTTCTGACTGAAAGGTGAAGATGCAAGATAACTCCCAAAAATGCCAATATTTCATCAGTAGAAAACCTTCAATATTCTCATTCAATGGACAAATAACAGAGGGAAAAAGTAATAATTTCCTATATCCATAAAGTTTTGTTTTTCTTAAAAGCTTATCAAAAAATGTTTTTATATTTGTTCACAACTTTCTGAAAAACAAATGCATCTGTGAAACTTAATTTTTGGAAATATGAGAAAGATAAAAAAATAAAATAAGTGAGGGGCTCATATCATGTTATTAAAGAATATACCCAAATAAGCAAAACAATACAAGTTTTCAAATCCATTTATTTCTTAAACATAATTTGTGTTGGGTCAAAATAAAGAAAAACTCATGGAAAATGAATTATTATTATTATTAACACAGAATATTCTCTAAAAAAAAAAAAAAAAAAAAAAAAAAAAGTTTGAAACCCAACAACAAAAGCCAGTGCAAAAAACGGAGTTGATGCAAGGCAGAGAGATAATTTTCTCATCTGTACAAGACCATAGGCAAAGGGAGGTAATTTAAGCGTTAAAAAAAAAAAAAAAAAAAATCTATTAGAAAGAGACAAAATGCTTTTTGTAAAACAGGAAACAAACATGAATATATTCCCAGAAAGAAGGAATGTTTTCACATGTATTTTCTAGACAAAAATGTAAATTGTAAAGCAGAAAGATATTTCCCAAGAGCAGACAATGAAAACAAACTATATACTCTTCTTTTAACATATCCTATTAACAGGATATAGGATGCACATTAAGATATAACTGAACCAACTAATAAAAACACTGCAACCAATGAACATTTTATATCCTCCTTGTATACCATTGAAAAATATCTTCCTGTATAGTAAAGATACCATGTCTCTTTATCTATCACATGAGAAAGGAATAGAGAGGAAAATAAAGATCGGAAATGCTATCTGTCCAAAACTTACAAAAAGCACAGCAGATATAATTTTAGAGACTAAGGTAAAGTCTTTTTCCAAGGTAGCAGGTTATAAACACAGCCAATATATATGGAATTTTTTTCTTTTTAAATGAGTGTGCATGTGCTTACATATGTGGCACAAGTGAATTGTTCTCGTCAACCAAAACTTAAAAAAAAAAAAAAAAAAGAGAGCCAAAATAAAATTATTCAACCCAAAACTTGAATCCTTCAACTTCCCAGAGCATTTGTAACCTACCAAGTTCAGTCTGAGGACTTTCATACCAAATATCAGAATTAAAACCTGTAAAAAAAGATGACCCTTAAATGCAGTAAATGCAACAAAAGTTTCAAATGAGAGTAAAAGTTAGCAGTTATCAACAGACATTTCTTCATCTTGATAATCAGAAATGTTGCTTACTGCATAGCATTGCTAAAACATAAAAAAAAAAAAAAAAAAAAAAAAAAAAAAAACACACACGCACACATTGTAGGTGTCTTTTGCAATTCTTTGAAGAGGTAGATTTCATCTGAATTTCATATATTAGTCATTATCAATTAATTTTTATAAGGATTACTTTTAGGAGAGAAGAATCATGAAACCAAAAATTCAACCAACCAAAACAAAGTTTCACCATCAAAATGTTGGCTTGCAAAGGTCTGGATCTTGTTAAAAGCATGCTTACTGACCTTCAATAATTTCTTAAAATCCACTACAGCAAGAAACTCAAGCAAAATGTTTTTATATAAAGTTTGCCATCTTCTTGTTAAGACATTATGTTTATACAAATAAAGGGGCATCAGAACTTTATCAAGCCAATAATCATTTTGGCATTTTTGTTTTACAAATATTCCATGAACTATTTAAGAAATTTAAAAAAAAAAAAAAAAAAAAAAAAACTTTTGCAATTCCTTCTTTTTTTTTTTTCTTTTAAATCTCATGGGCCAGAAAGAAAACTGAATTTAGTTTTAGAAAATTCTTTTCAACAATGTTGAACATATCAGCTGTTGTGAAATTCCTTTCAGGAGAAATTCTATTTTAACATTAAATAAAAAGTACCTACTTTGAACTGCAAAACCAAAACATTAAACAGTCTGTTGGTTATTATCATAGAATTTAACAATTATTCGGCCCTCTGGATTCCAATTCCTTGAGAAAATAAATGTTATACCTACTTCAATAAAAGTAAATCAAGGAGATTGTAAAAAACACCATTAAGCTATTTTCAAGCTTAATGTGTTTTTGTCTTAAGATAACTGCAATTTTTTTTTTTTTTTTAAACTAACATATTTGGCCAATATTTCAAATTACACTCAAATCAAGGCCAGGCACAAAATACAGATTTTCCTCACATTAGACAAAAGATGACATTGGGAAAATTTGCATCAACCTCCTAATTTATATCTGGGATTATAAAATGTTTCTCCTTTCAGTAAAGTTAATGCATGAAGTTTTCATCTTAAATCATTTCCAGGGTATTAGTTTGTTAGGTGCATGTTTCCATAACAACTGACATCAGTGTTTCTGAATATTTGATGATTATATTATTCATTTTCAAAGATTTTATTATAAGTACATTCATAGAAGAAACAAAGAAATTACATCTAAGTTTATTTTCAAACTAAATTGATTACAATCAAAATAGCTAAAACCTTATCTTTACCAAATGAGCCACATAACAGCAATTATTAACCCAGAAATTCTCATCATCCCATTAATCAATTAAAGGGAGAAACCTACAATATCAAAATTTTATAAATATTTAACACTACAATTCTTTATTAGAGATTTCTAATTAATAGTGGATTTATATTTTAATCTTTATGATTAATGCCCGATTTTACAGTAGAGACGAATGGATTACTTTTTAACTTCATATAAAAATAACGAAAATGAGAAAATTAGCAGTCAATTGCTGAAACCTCCTGATGAATGGACCAAAATCGAATTCCAGCCATGCACAGCTCAGAATAAACCTATTACTATTTAGACACCACAAAAACTACATCTTAAACAGACAAACATGAAAAGAAATTAACAACAAAACTACCTTGAAAATTGCTAAAGAAGTGGCTGAAAGTGCTTGGGACAATAGACACTACAGACAATTTTTACACTCCCTTACTTCCACCAAACAAAAATATGTAAGAATATTAGAAAAACTAAATAAAATATTCAAAATTTTCCTTGTCTGTCATATTCAATGAAACATGTTTGAAAGAAATGTTACTGCCTATATATATATATATATATATATATATATATATATAGTAATGAAGTGTCAGTTATAAACATTTATAACATGCATATACAAGATTGTTTTAAAATATTAATATATTTTTTAGCTCGAAGATAAACATAGCTACTCAGTGAAAAGATGTTTTTTTTCTTGATATCATTAATTGGAGCAGTGAAATGAAAACCTAACAATGAGAAACCCGACTCCTATCACCAATCAACTGACTAAAAATCTTGAAGTAAATTTTTATATTTCAACTATTTTTACTTGAAACTTTTGAAGCAGAGAATCAAAACCTCATAGTAATCATAATAAAGTAATATTTCATAGACTACAATAACAATGGCAGCTTTCAATGCAACAAGGCAAACAGTTCATTGCATCAGCAATACAAGAACAAATAAACTATGTTTATCCAGTATAAAATTTTACATATATTAAAAAAGTAATCTGTGTTAAATTTAAACAGGATCTATACAATTATTTATATGACTCGTATAATATAAAATCATATAATATACATATACAAGTCATCTATATAAATAAATGTGAGTGTCAGTGTGTCACACTTTTTCAACTTTACTCCTAGAGGCCATAGTCCAACATATACCATTTTAGAATCAGGCTGACTCTGTAAGCAAATGAAAAACATTCCAGGCCGGATCTGAACCCACAATCCTGAAATTTTGGATTCCCAAGCTTTCATTACTGCAATTGTTTTTGGTGATTTTTAACATGATTTTTTGCAACAAATTTTTTGTATGATAACAATTTTTATAACTTGGAAATAAATTCGGGAATAATTGAAATTAATTGCAAAATCCAACAAAAATCACCCATAAAATAAAAATAATTGTTTGTATGGAAAGTAAGGAAAGTAAGTAAAAAAAAAAAAAAAACACATACCTGGATTTTGTACTTTCCTGAATTCCCCAGGAGAATCAACCTTTCTTGCTATGAAATAAAAGTGGATATTACAGAATTGATGAAATTTATCAAATCACAATTAAAATTAACTTCTCTTAACTAAACTTATATTGTCAACATACAAATTTCAAAATATTGTAAAAAGGCTTTTTTATAATTTTACATTTCCAAACCAAAAAACAGAGAAAACATGAAATTAAAAAAAAAAAAAAAATTCTGAAAGTTTTAAAGACACGAGAAGGAATGTATCAATGAATTTAGAGTTTGTTTTTTTAATTTAGTTCCTCTTTTAATAAGATTTTTTATTTCTTGGCTAAAATTCTTAGTTTTTGAAGGGTTAAAGAAGTGGTGAACTTCTAAAATATTTTAATGTTAAATAAAATTATTTAAATACTGAAACATGTACATTAGTGGGGATGAAAAAAAAATCTTTCCAATGATTTTCAATTGTTGTTTCAAGTAGAAAATGTAATGAGTCAAAACAATTTATATTCTGGCCAAAAGAGTTTGTGTTCACTTTACAGTATGGCCCTTGACAAAGATATGAATCCATCTCTTCTTATTCCAGTTATGAATAAAATAGTAGTACAGCCTGGGTTGGCAACCAGTCTGGAAGACATGATTCAAAATTGGTTAACGCAACATGGAACTAGTAAATCTTTAGCAAGAAGTTATGACAATAGAGAGTTAGCAAATATTAAAGAAAAAGAAAATGTAAAGAGACATGATCATGGTACTTAGAAATTTTATCATTTAATCTACTCTTAACTACAATAAAATAGGAGGCACTTACTCAAAATGGTTTCAATGAGTTATAGCGCAAGTCATGCTGTCCATTAGAATTGCCTATTGGATTTTCTAATAATTTAGACTTGTACCAATGATGGCCAACAAGTAATTTGTATTTTGTACACCTACTGAGAATCAACCTCGAAGATGTAAACCAAACTATTCAGTAAATTTCTTTTTATTTTTGATCAAAAACTTTAGGGCCAGTTTGCAATAAGACATTTGAACAGTCATTTGTTTTTACAAATAGTTATTCTATCAATACCAACCAAAGTGCAAACCATTCAAAGTTTTGAAATAAATTAAATTTATTGAAAAAATAAGTATCTGTCTAAAGGTTTTGAGAATAGAAGTCAATTTTTTTCTTATTATTACTGTTATACTCCATTGCAATTAAATCTCTTTCTGATTCATTCTGCATACTGGCCAGATGTGAATGCCATAAAGGCAGAGAACAAAATTTTTAAAAAAGTTGTTTTCTGCACAGTCTCCACGCATCACATCTCATCCACAAAGCAAATTTCAGCAATAATTGCAAACATTCTCAACAGAAATGGAGATGCTCCTGGGAACTGCTAAATCTGCTTAAAAGCAGGATGATTATAACAACCATGAGCAATTGTGGGTTGGCTCCACTCAATGACTGTCACTACCAGACTCTTTGCACACAGGATCCAGGATATCCTCACGACACTGACACCAACCAGCTACAAGCCATTGTCAACGCCATCACTTCAGCAAACTCGGCGCACTACAGCAGCAGACTATCTAGCCTCAACACCACCAGGCCCAAGACACCAACCGTCACAAGTGATAACATATCAATGTCAACATCACCCAGCTACAAGCCTTTCTCATCTCCAACACTGTCACATAGGTAAATCCAACTCACTACAGAGACTCCAACTTTGCAACCAAGTATCTCTGACTCCGTAAGGAAGCATTCAGCCTACCATCATCCAAGTAGAACACCAGCTGACCAGATACAAACAATCTTGTCAACTTGGCAACCCACTGCCCTCACCCCAGCACCAACCTCATCACCTCAACATACACGACTTACTACAGGCATTCCCTTTGCAGTCATCACCAAGGCCCGGTTTCATAGAACATGCCTACCAGCCACACCAATCTAACACTACCTTGACAACTAATGAATCAACCCACCACCATGACCTCGATTGACCAACATATGCAAACAAACACATCCTGTAACCTCAGTCAAACCAACACAAGAAACAGGTCAATTTCTGGCATTACACTTACACCTGATCAGCAACAGAAATTGACTTTTCACCGATTTTCAACAACTCTGTAAGACACCCCATATATTAAACAAATACACATTGTTCAAAAACCTAATCATTATTCCTTTCATTTGCAACAAAACACTTATTATAACATTACTGATTTCATCTTTTGCTTTTTTGATTTTGTAGAAAGTTTTTAAATTTCACATTTGTGCAATAAGAAAGAAAATCAGTTTAAAGAAACAATTCAAGATGATTGCTTATGAAATGCATTTATCAAACAAATGCCAGGCTACTGATGCTAGTTAGTACAAAATCAAAGAAAATGAATTTCAAGATAACAAATACAAAGTTCTTTCTCATTAATGCCAAAAGACACAGAGTATGAATAAAGAGAACAACAAAGTAGAAGGAATGAAAATTTGAACACTTCTGGGGTGGTTACTAAAATCCCAAACAGAAAGTGCAGGTTTCTGATGGAATCAAAACACCAGCCTCGTTCTGCTAAGTTTATTCTCTAAATTCTTTCCTATAATTGATTCTATTTATTTTTGTGACAATCAATTGAACTTAGAATAAAGAAATAAACTACAGTTTCTCTTAATTCACTTATCATGTGAATCCTATTTAATCTCTCACATGCTAAATTCTTAATCAACATTCAAGTCATGCCAGTATAGCAATCTTGTAGCCATGTTGAAAAGTTTAAAAATAAGAAAAAATTTTTAAATAAAATAAATAAAAGCTTTTTTTTTTTTTTACAAGATATTAAAAACTGAAATGATAAAGAATTACATATTTGTGTTAAGTCTGTAGACTTTAAGAGAAATGTATTGAAGAAAGCAATTTACCTCGAAAGTCACTCTCATAATCAGAAGCATCATTGTCAATCAGTTCCATATCATCAAAATCAATGACTGATGAAGACTGACTCTGTATGAATAGAAAATATATACATGACATATCCCCAAAGACGTTCTAAAGAATAAAAAGGCTAGTAAACCAAAATTTGAGTGCTTACAGAAAATATATTTTCTCTTGGTTCAGGAATCATTTTTACCATTTGATGAGAGAGAGATATGTTTGTTATTAGAATTGAGAATGGGCCGTCCAAAAAGAAATAGTATGTGGATGTGTTTAAACAAGGTTAAGAATAATAGAGAGTGGTATTTTCTCTCTCTTTGTTTGCACACTAATTAGTCTCATTTATATAAAAAAAAAAAAAAAAATGATACTCTCAAAATTAGTTATGCTTTTGAAAATCTAATTAATTTGGGATACGAAGAAGAAAAAGAATTTCAAATTTAGTAGTTCTAGGTTTCCAAATTTAATCCAATCTGGCAACACTGCTAAAAAGTACAATTTTTTAAAAAAGTAGTTAATTTCTGGCAAGAGTTTATCTCTACACATTACTTTTAGGTAGTTTAATAAATAAATAAATAAAACAGATTCCCATCTTTTACTCATCTTTGGAATACAATCACCCAAATTCTTTAAGAGGCATAACAATAAAGAAATATCAAAAAGTGAAATATGACAGTTGGTTATCAAAAAAAGAAAAGAGATTCAGTTAAGCTAAAATGAATATTTCTCTAGAAAAAGAAAAACATAAATGTATTGAACCCAAACTTTTTGTCTATTTAGAAATAAATAAAAATGTTACTGCTGATGTAAGAAAATGTTAACTGATGCAGAAAAGCAAATCACTTTACGGTTGAGACAGAATACATTATCCAGGTAGTGTAACTCCAAAGTTACACTACAAAATGAGCATACATGAGGAAAAAATGTCCAAAACTTTATAAAAACAAAGTTTTATAGCCTAAATTATTGTTATTAAGTGGAAAGACCAAAGGATTTTTGATTAAATTACATTTTTTAATCCTTTTTAGAACATTCAAAATTTTGTTGTTCTTAAATCAATGGGTGGCCATAAATTAGTGTGAAATTTGAGTGTCTTTTTGCAATGAAGAACATATCGATTTGGAAATTCTTGCAAAAATCAGATAATTGTCAGATTTTAATGAAACCTTCAGGATTTAATCACAAATGAATTATTTTAGAAACTTTTCTTTACTTAGAAAATCTTAATAAAAATTTTATTTTTATTTTTACATTTGTTAAAACATTTAATTTTATGTAATTTTGAGAAATTTAAATTTTGTAGTGCTTAATGTTTATTACTTATAAGGAAAAGTCCTTAGCAATTTAAATCATCAATTTGTTTTTGTCAAACAGGACCTGCAGTTACAGAAAATCTGCTCTGAAAAAAATAAAAGATGCAATAAAAAAAACTAAGAAATTATTTAATTAGAAAAACTTTTGATTTTATGGACACTGTCTTAATAAAAATTCTTTTTTTGATGAATAATGAATTTTTACAAGAATTGTTTTCATTTTGTTAATTAATGTACATTGTAAAGTGTTATCTTTTAAAATTAAATATTAATTTATAGTGGTTAGGTGATATTAACAGAAAAACTATATTTACTAATCATAAATCGAAAAGCTTACTAATTCAGTGCCCCACATCAGTATTTTAAAAAGAATTTGGAATTGTTTTTGTGTGTAAACATACTAAAGAGAATTATGGTGTGTTGACAGATTTGCCAATATGGCCGATTTTAGAAAAAATAATTCCAATCAATTTATTCGGTTTGAAATACGGCAAAGTTTTTGCTTATTGGAAATAAAACTAAAATAAAAGCTTCAAAACAAGTTCTTTTTGTTTTGTTTTTTTTAATTTTTAAAATAAAATGCATAGCCTTCGGTATCGCTTTACATTTTTTGGAGGTACCTAAATGAAACTTTTTGGGACGTCTTTTTAGAACAGTTTGTGAAGTTCAGAACAGTTCGCCGGTTCGATGAGGTTAAGAAAGAGAACTGAATTTGCTACATACAAATTTGGTTAGTTCCCGCTAATTTTGTTTTAAACCAAGAAATACAGTTAATGGAATAAAATTATAAAAATTCGAATGCAAAAAAAAAAATTAAAAAAATAGATAAATAAGTGTAAAGAAAGTTACTGACATAGTTCGGTGACGACGAAAATGCGGACAATATGTCAGGGTTCATTTCCTATTACGTTCATCACTTCCCTACTTTAGTGACACTTTGCTAGTTTTCACTTTTAAACTTCGTTTACACATTTTCATAAAGAGCAGCACAAACTCTATAAAAAAAACAAAAACAAAAAAAAGTGAAAACTGAAAAGATATTCATGTTAGTTTAACCGAATCTTTACCAAAAGCTAATTTTTTTGTTCAATTTATCGAGAAGTAAAAAGAGACATGATCAATTCATTTCTTAAAAACTAAAAAGTGAAAAAAGAAGAAAAGAAACGTAAAACCAAATCAAAAAGAACTATTCGGATTGTTATCATTACGATTGTTTGATGACAAAATTTATAATGAGGTTGACAGAGTAAATAAATAGTTTTCATTTTCAATTTTCATTATTTTTCACACACTTTTCAATTTCGGTGGAGTTGTACAATACAGGCAATCAGAAAGAATAATTTTTTCTTCAAAATATTACAATAATTAATTACATATTACTTCAGAACTCCAGATCACAAATCAAAACAATTATATTTGTAATTTTTATTTTTATGTTATAAAAAATAAAAATTGATAGGGAAGGGGTCCAGTTTGCTATATAAATTCATTAAGCTTCCCCCCATAACATTTTTTTCTGATGGCAGTGTATTGTTGCATTAACTCTACTCACAAATCGTTGTTTTTAAATAAATTAACGTTGCGGCCGAAGAAGTATCGGTGTAAAATTAAATAAATAAATATGAAGAATTCTATAGTCCGGAAAATCTCTAACTCCAAAAAACAACTGAAAGGATAACTTTTTGTTTCTCACATTTGAGTTATTTTAAAAGTTAAAATTTTCAAATAAAAGCGTTCGGTGGATGTTTTATAGTTTTCTGAAAATCTAAAGACAAACAAAAAAGTGAAGAGGCTTTCTTTGAGCAACATCAGATTTGTCGAAGAAAAGAGAACTGCAGTAACTGTAACACTTTTTTTTTTTTCGAGACAAGAAACTTGAAGTTTGTTCAAACGAACAATAGAACAAAAAACTAACTGTTGCGAATAATTAGAGATAAAAGAAGACAGAAGGAAATAATGTTAAAAAAATATCAGTAATTTATTTTTTCTGATTTCTTTATTATCCTTGAATGAAGATAAATAATTATAAGGAAAATTGTTCTGGAGAGGGTCCCCGCTTTTCAACGAACTGTAAATTTCGATTGAAAATAACTTCGCTGAGGACTGAAAAGTGAAAACCGAAAAGATTATAATTTTAAAATCAATACTTGTGTAACTTATTATTAATTATATTTATTGCAAAATAAGCAAATAAATTTAAAAAATCTGTTAGATTCAGTCGAAAAAGAAAAATGTCACAACCTGAGAAATCAAATTTCTAGGTGTCATCTGCAATGATCCCTGAAAGGATTAATGAAATTTATATACCTAAATTAAATAAACTGAAATTAGCAAAGGAGTCTAAAAATATATCTCTATATTGTTATTGTTTCATATTTACATTCCTTCCTAAAAAAATAAGATTATTTTTAAGTGCTGCTTTCGTTAGCCTTTAAAACAGCAGGTATTATTATTACCACATCACTAATTTTCTCCGTTCTAAAAAAAATTAAAACACATTGTCTGTATGTTTTTTTTTTTAGTTTATTTTTGTTTCTAAGTTTTATTGTTCTTTTTTTTTTTTTCAAGCCTGCCATGCGATATAAACAACTAAAGTATCAAACTTAAAAAGGGTTGTAAAATAGATTTAAATTTTGAAAAATAAAATACTAACTTGAAGAACTTGTTTCAGTTGGTTTTTGTTTTGGTTCACTATTTTTCTTGCTTTTAGTTTGCGTGGTCTCTTTTTCTTTTCTTTTTTAAAAAAAAACTAAAAATACAAACCAGAACTTAGAATTTGCAGTCGTAAGCAATCGACAAGGACAAACTGTTTAGCTTAGCCAACCAAAAGACAGAGTGCCTGAGCGAACAAACCAAAAGCCAGCCAGTCATCAAATAAAAAATGTTTTTTTTTTTTTCCTTTAAAAAAACAAAACAACAAACTTTGCCAACGTGTTACCTGAGACTGGAGATGCCAGTCTGCTTTATCCGCCATTGCTGCAACGAGATTAAAATAGTCACGTGACTTCCTGTGAGATTTCCAGAAGTTGTTAATGGCGAACGGCGCAAAGTTTGGATGTACAATCTGTTGGATTTTAAAATTTACGCATTGACTTGTTTGGATTTGTTTTGTTACCCTGTATCTACTTAAACCATAGTTGAATTTGAGGGTTGCACGAACGGTATGAGATGTTGATTATTCTTTCTCTCTCTCTCTCTCTATATATATATATATATATATTTTTTTTAAAACAGTCTTTCTTTCACATTTAAAATTGATAAGGAAATAATTTTTTTTTAAAGAAAGCTATCATTTACTTTTTTGTGCGCAGTTTTAGTAAAATGTTTAATACCTAAAGACAATAATACACGAGTTAGTATATGAAAATACTTTAATTGTTAACATTTAGTTAAGGAGTTTAGCAAGAAAGTTTCTGTTTTTACATTGACCAAATAAAACTTATTCAAAAAAATAAATGGGCCTCTTTGAAAAAATTACGAAATCTTGATTGAAGATGTAGTAATTAGTTTTTAATTGCTTGTGTACGCTTGACAAGAAGAATTAAACAACTCTTAATTTTAAGAATGATTTGTAATCGTTTGAAATTTCATTTAACACTTTTTAGTTTTTTTTGGACAATGATTCTTTTAGTCTTGCTTGCTTGCGCGTTAAACTAGAAAATATGAAGATAAAATACCTTTGAATATTTAAAATCAAATCTGTTTATTATTTATTATAATGGGCTAAATTATAATCTGTAGTGCAACTAGGTAAATATTGTCATCTCGTTAAAGTTATCTAAAACTAGTTTAACTGTTTACATTATTGATTTTTCGGTACTTCGTTTTCTTTTATCAATTTTCCTTATCTGAGGTGTGCATGTTTTTGGAGAAAGTTCCTTGTGTAATCACTTGAAAAAAGTAATTTGCAGTATTTTACCAAAAAATTAAAATTCTTTACAAAATATTCGTAAAAATTCCTTTTAAAACACTCCGCTTTAAAAAAAAATTATCAAATTCAAAACATTAGCAATAATCTGAAATTTGCGACATTATTTTTTTAACATTGCATAAGGAAATGAATTGACTAACGAACCCAACAAAGAACACCACAGAATCTTTAAGAATATATTTTTTTGATAAACATTGTTTTTTCATAAAGAACTGAAGTAATTTAAAAAAAAAATTAAACTACGACTCAAGGCCATTTCACATGAATGGCCTTGTTAAGGGGCGATTTTCTTTTTACACATGAATAATTCAGAATATGAATCTTTCAAATTTGAGACTTGTCATCTAGGACTCTGAATAAGGAGCCCCGTTTCTTTTCAATGAAAAGAAACCGGGCTCCTTATTCAAAGAGTCCTAGCCTTGTTTTATTTTATTTTTTATTTTTAGCAGATTTCAAAATGTCACTCACTTTTGTTTTGAAGCAATAAATAAAAACAACATGGATCTAAAAACTAAATTTATGTCGGATTTTTTTTTTTTTTTTTAATGAGGCATCATTATTTACCTTTTCATTCGGGTCAGCAACACTCATCTCTTAACGTTTCAATCGTTGTATCTTCCGGCCTTCCTCAGGCGTCTACCGTTGTACACGCACACCGCAGATTCCTCGGAATTTTCAACTGAAACTTTTATTCAGTCCACTGTTCATATACTGCTTTCTATGCTTCGGTGATATTTCATATCGCTTATCTCTCGTCTATTTGCCTTTGTATCATTTGCCCATCTTTTCCAATGAACCAGCTTCAAAATAGCAAGAGAGGGTTACTGTGTGTACCTATAAGTTAACTGACACCTGAAGATCGAAACCTTTTTAGTTACACCAACCAGGATGAACATGCTGGTCCGAATAGAAAGGCATCATAATGGCTTGAATTCATTTTGGCATCGTAATTTTATTTTTAATAAACCAATAGCAAAAGAAAAAGACGAAATTTTCTTTATTTAATTTGCTTAATGTCTTACTCTTCTTACTCTTACTTAAAAAAAAAACACTTGGCAAAAAATAAAAAATACCCTCCTCCTTTCTTTTCTAAGCTTTTCACTGCAGCGTAACTTAGTTAAATTTACTTTTTATAAATTTAAAATGCTTCTTTTTTTTTCTTCTTTTTTTTTTTCAAAAAATGTTTTTTTGGAAGATTTTTTTTTTTAATTCAGTTGTAAATCAGCAGATAAAACGTTTGAAAAATACCAATAAAAACGATTTAAATTAAATGAAAATACCTTTTAACTTTCGAGATTATTACAAATCTCGATGTTTTTTTATTTTTTTGTTATTTCTCCTTCCTTTCTATCAGAACGATCACACCTTTTCTCACATTTTCCCATTTTCTGTCCATTTTCTTTTATATCATTTTGAAACGGAATCACACCAATTTAAATATACATTTATTTTAATGTTTTTTTATCTAATTTCAAGATATTGAATTAGAAACAAAAAAGTGTGCTTCATAATTTCCAGAATATGACAACAAATCTGAAGAAGGCTAAAAAAAGTTTTACAGCAGCGGAAATGTTTGATTTTTGTAACTTGTTTGATCAGTCTGCAATTCCTACATTTATTCTGTTTTACTTTCACTACTTGACAGACAAATGATTTGATTTTATTCTTTTAACGACATTTGTTTTTCTTTTCCTCCATCTTCAAGATAGTTAGTGCTGTGAAACATTGTCTAATCTGCTTGTTTTTAAAGCCCTCCTTCATAATTTCATTTTTGTTCATAGATGAGTGAACATGCTCAACCAAGTGAGATTTCAGTATCCAATAATTCCGATCCCTCGTCGGAATCAGATAGTATGGATTATCCAGGGAGTGACGTAGATAGTAATGGACTCAGCATCTCGGCGGATGAATTGGTAAGTTCTTTTTTTCTGATTGTAAAAAGTAATATGATGTCAAAGACCAACAGTGTTGTTGTTTTTTGTTTTACTAATATTCACCCAATACAAGGCCCAAAAGCCACTCAAGGTAGATGGTTACTGTGTGAACTTATAGCGTAGAAAAGGGCAAGTATTAGAGCTGAAGCAGACTTTAGAAGGAACCAGAGACCTAAATCCTAAACATGAAAACCAGGGATAAACCTCTACTCAAACATTATAAAACAGAAAAACACCAACTGAAATGTGGTATTCAGTGGAATTTTTAAATTACTACAATCTTTTTCAAAATTGTTCATATTCTTGGAAATAAAAACTAGTATTATTAAATATTTCTTCTTCTGTGAGACAATCTTTTAACATAGCCTGCTATATACAAAAGTGATATTTTAGTATCTTTAGGGATCCTAGTTTCAAGGTATGGTAAGTTATCAAATGTTTGGCATCCCATTTCATCCAGCAACACTCCTCCCCCTTCTCTTGGACATGAGTAGAGGCTCACGCCTTGTTTCTTGTTTAGGAAGGGGTTCCCGGTACTCTCTCTCTGGCCCCTGTACTAGTGTAGCTCTGTTTTTCCCGTGATGTGTGCAGTCTGTTGCATTGCCTCTTCATTCTGAGGGTACACAGTTGACAGTTCTCTAGTTGCTGTTTCCGATTGGTAGTTAGGAGCCCTAACTCTTGCGTAGCATCTTGAGCAACCGCTCTGATCAACAGTTGTATAATACCGGGGTGTTTGTAGTGCCATGTCGCGCATGGAAAGGTGTCCCTGCAGTCACCTCCGGTGGGCAACCCTGAGGCCACATTATGATGCAGGCTGTGCCAACTCCTCTCTGCCTATGTCACGGTCGATAACTGTCTGCTTCTTTTACTTCGGGCTTTCTCATCTTCCAACCATAATTCCACATGGTGACTTACAAAGACTGAAAAAGTAATCGTAAACCAGCTCCTCAAAAATCACCTAAACCCCTTAACATTTCATTCTCCAACATCCGTGGCATTAGAACAAACTTCTGCAGTATGGAATCTTTCCTCACTGCAAACTGCCCAGATATACTGGCTCTCTGTGAGACCAAACTTGTCTCGTCTATCCCCTCCTCTGATCTCTCAATCACAGGCTACCTTCCTCTCCTCAGAAAAGACTCTCTAACCCACATGCACAGCCTTGGTGTCTACATCAAGGACCATCTCCCTCTGGCCAGAGAGTTGTCTCTTGAATCGCCAGATCAGTCGTACATGTGTCTCCATCTATCTCTTCTCAATGCGGTAAGCTATCTCTTCTTCCTTTACCGCTCTCCATCCTCTCAAGACTGTGGGATACGCGATAGCATTTCGGACAGCATAGACAAGGCTCTCTCTCTCTCCACGTGTTTGCTCATATATTTGTGTTTGGCGACTTTAACGCCCATCATACCAAATGGCTTAAGGATGCTGCTACTGACCACGCAGGCATTCAAACACTTAATTTTTCAGTTTATCAATCCCTCACGCAGATAGTTAACTTCCCCACTCGTTTTGCCTTCAACCGGGAAGGTATGGCCTTTTTTCTCGATCTGTGTTTTACCTCCATCCCTGAGTCTTGTAGCATCACGCAACTCTGCCCTCTTGGTAACTCAGATCATGCTGTAGTATCTGTTAACATCTCCTTCAACTCCACTTCCTGCAAATAACCTCCTACCACTAGAACTTCGTTCTACTATCAACGAGCTGACTGGGACTCGTTCCATGATTTCCTCCTGGGATGATGTCTTTACGCTCCCCATCCAAGAATGTGCTTCTGAGGTCTCATCCTGGGTTAAAGCTGGAATCAACGCTTTCATCCCCTCAAGGAAATATAGGTTCTCCGCTGCTTGCTCAGCCGCCATTGCCAATAGGAACCACTTCTTTCACCTATTTCATAGCGACATGTTGGACTGCAATAGACGTCTCTTTGCTTCTGCCCGTAATGAGTGTAAGCGTGTCCTCAATGATGCTAAGTCACTATTTGCTGCTCGGATGAAGGAGTGTATTGCATCTCACAAATTTGGCTCCAAAGATTATTGGCGTCTCTGCAAGAGCGTATTGAACAATTGCAAACCCTCTATACCCCCTTTTTTCAACCAGTTCGAAGTC